CACACGAAGAAGTGTCCGCACCTCTTCTTGGGGGTCGGAGCGGGGGGAGATGGGACGGCTTCTTGTCCTCCCCCGCTACGAAGAGGCTGTCCTCGGGCATCATCTCCCAAGCTTTAGTTTGGATCTTCTTGGGGCTTCCTCTGCGCTGAATCTTTTGACCCGGAGCTGATTACAGATGGTGATACGGGGGGCGATGTTGCTGCCCCCCTGCCTGCTGCCGATGGTAGTGGCTTTTGGGACCTCCATGGTGCTGGGGCCGGGACAGACTATGGAGGGAGGATGGGTAGGGTTTGAGGGGTTGTGGATTAGGGCTGGGGAGGTGGAAGACATGGTGGGTGGGTGGATAGGACTATGGGATTTGGAGGAAGGTTGTTGATGGACGGCAGTGACGTGGGCTTCAAAAATTATATAATCTTAAGCTCCCATTGTTGTCCTGGTTTAGCCGTTAGTCGAACATTTTCATTAGTAAATCGATTCAAAAACAAATTTATTAATTTAAAAATATAGATACTATTTTATATCAATGTAAAATTTGTTTATGTTTCTATAAAAAACATATAATTATTTCATTCCCCAAAATATGGAAATTTCAATAATCCAAGTCGTGGAAACTTAACTAATCTACCTTATCATTCCTTCTTGTCAAGTTGGCGAAAAAAGACATTGCTTCCCCTGGCCTTGAGATTCTTCCCTGAAAATCATGTCTTTGTCAATCTATTGACAGATTTCTACTTTATCTCCAGAATCTTCTGTGCTATAGCTATAGCAAACTTATGATATTCGAACTTCGTCTTAAATGAACCTAATTATGGCCTGAACTACCTTTTCATAGAAAATAATTAAATAATGCACTGAAAATTATTGCTCAGAATCACTTTTTATTTCTTAATTGATTCCTTTTTATAGAAAACTAGCCGAATGACCCGGGCAAAGCCCGGGGTTTACCCGATTAAATGCTTTTATTCAAATACTATTCGTTACAATTATAAATTGGCACCGTGGATGTCATTCTTGTATAATATATAAATGAGTTTTAGAAATTGTAAAAAAAAAAATGCATCGGCCGGGAATTGAACCCGGGGCGCCCGCGTGGCAGGCGAGCATTCTACCACTGAACCAAAAGCAAATGGTGACAGAATTAAGGTGAACAGAATTACGATGATAACTGTATATTATCCGTGACAGAGGCCACGACAGACGGTCGTGACTATATATATTAATGTCAAATAATTTGCTATGTTATTGCATTATAAATATGCTCTCATAATGTGCCCAATTACGAGAATAATTCACACATTACCGATAGGTCAAGAATACTTTTTGGTTGGCCATGACCCTGAATGATGGCTCCCCTACCTATGAAAACAAATAGGACACTAAATACAGTATCTACTGTAAAGGGATCCATCATTCAGGGTCATGGACAACCAAAAAGTATTCTTGACCTTATCAGTGTTCTGATATACTCGAGCTTATAAATTCGAAAAACGTGAGCGCGTGCGTCTGTGTGCTCAATTTTTTTTCTACGTGTTGATAAATATTGTATCTATAAGGTCCTTATAAAATTATTTCATTATTTTGAATATTTTATGTGATCCAGTCTCATTCCTGGAAATTATTGTTCACACGTCTTCTGATTTGACCAATGGAAAATGTACAATATTTATAAGTCATGGAGTAAGGGTTTTACATTTTGGCCAGTTCTTTTTTCTATAATGCTTTTCCTTGTCTCTACTATAATTACACTCAAACAGAAAATAACAAAAATTATATTTCCAAGCTGTGAACTAAACAAGAGAGAAATGACTTTCAAGTCATCACAGATTTTCTAGCTGTACCTATCGTACTCTACCTTTTTCAAAAGCAGTTTTTTTTTTTCGCTTTTATAACTCTCTTTCATGTTGATTGCGTGTGTTTTTGGCACTTATAAGACCTTATTACCGTTGTAAAGAAAGCTTTCAAACTAAATTCAGAGGGATCAATAAATAAGCGCCACTCTTCTGTATTATGTTCATCATGACCAAGCGCATTCATTATACTAAGAACACCATTGGAGTACACTAAGTCATTTTCTTGTGAAAAGAATTCTTGAAATTCAGCTTGTCTTTTGCGAAAAAAAAAAACATAATTTTGTGTCCATATGCAGAATTCCAACCTTTTAACCTATAATCTAAATGTTCTCTCTGTTTTTTGGATAAATACAAATCACATTCGAGGTCATTCAAATCTCCTTTAGTAAATAAATGAGGTTCGAATGAAACATGTACTTTAAAATTTGTGTCATCCGACTCTTGCACATGACTATTTGAATCCTCGTCTCTAAATGTCACATTTTCGGAAAGCATTGGCCCAGGTAAATCATCTCTATGAGGAACACTGGTCTCTCTCTCTCAGCAGATGGCAAATCTGAATATTTGATGGTATGCTTTGATATAGATGTAATACCTGTAGTTTTTGTCAAACAAAAAAAAAACACTCTACATATATAAATATATATTTTAAAGAGGCATGCCTTTTTTTTTATTTATGCACCTTATCCCAGTACACCTTATCACCACTAGCTAATGTAATGTGGTTTAAGCAAAAAGCTGCGGTAACATTGTTTGTATTTATTACTGCGTGTTTATCCCAATACAAAAAAAAGGTTGCCACTTAGAAACCTTACGTGATAAAAAAAAAATGATATTGTAACATATAATTCCCTCCTCACTGTATGACAAGATATCCGAGAGGCAGGGATCCCAGAGTGAAGTTGTAGAAAAATGGATGGATTCCACCAGCTAAGGGAGGATGGCCCACACGTGTGTGGGGAGGACAGGCGCCACGACGGCATTCCAATGTGGAGGGAGCAGCAGAGTCTGGTTACATCTGCGGCAAGGAGAAGACGTGGCGACTTGCCTCTGGGCGTGTGGATGATCCTACAAGGCGGTGCTAGGAGAGACTGACATCGGAGCAACCTATAAGGCGGTGTTGGCAAGCTGCATGTGTATAGTGTGGAGCGGAACGCTTCACAAGAGGACTCCACGGCGCCAAGGATTCTTCTGACGGGGAGGTCGAAGGCAAGTCCCACTGTTGTATTCTTTCTGTTAAGTGAGTACAATAAAGCGCTAACTTTAGCTGCAATCCCTTCGAACTCACATGTGTATCTTTGTGGCATACTGATTAGGCAAAGTACACGAATAGCGTCTATGTACGAGGCAACAGTATATTTCGAATCAGCACAAAAAGTCACATTAAGATCAGATATTCTTTCTTATGGGGAAAAGAAAAACTACTTTTATCGACCCAATAATTATTAACAGTTCCAATTATCAGAAATTCGAAATATAATTAGTTCCTAATTGTGAGCAGTCCAAATTTTATCCGCAGTCCTAACTATTAGGGGACTCCCAATCATCATTAATCCAAATTATTGGTAGTCCCAATTATAATTAGTCCAAACTATTAACAGTCTCAATTATCAGTATTCTCAACTATTAGTCGTCTCCTAATTATCATCAGCCCTAATTATCAGTAAACCCAATTATGAGAAGCCTAAATAATCAGTGTCGTCCCAACTAGTGAACTATAGCGCCCCCTCTTGGGACTCACCAAAATATGGTGCTATAGATACTACATTTTGATCTTAGCCATCAAGTTGACTGCTTAAACCAACTCACACAGACCATACTTTCCTAGTACAGTTAAACCTGTCTATAGCGCCCCCTCTTGGGACTCACCAAAATATGGTGCTATAGATACTACTACACTTTGATCTTAGCCATCATGTTGACTGCTTAAACCAACTCACACAGACCATACTTTCCTATACAGTTAAACCTGTCTATAGCGCCCCTCTTGGGACTCACCAAAATATGGTGCTATAGATACTACTACACTTTGATCTTAGCCATCAAGTTGACTGCTTAAACCAACTCACACAGGCCATACTCTCCTAGTACAGTTAAACCTGTCTATAGCGCCTCCTCTAGGGACTCACCAAAATAGGGGGCTATAGACAGGTCACTTTTAATGTAAATCGCATCGTACTACG